CCAATCCGGGAATATCCTTTGTATAATTCTCCTCGTGGCAGCCCTTCCCCTCTCGCTGGCGGTTCCAACCTCGGGCTCGCTCCCCACGTGGAGGTGTCGATACGGGTCCCCTGCTGCGGAGATGGCAATATCCGCATTGTCGTAGTCGGGGTGGATGTCCCTTCCTCGTGGGTTGTCGACCCCCAGCCTGCTGACGGACGGGCTGGAGCCGGAATTTGGTTCGGTGGGAGTCTCGGGGGGGTTCTGGGGGGCGTCAGGACTTTCGCGGGGTCCCGTAGCCACCCGAGCGGCATCAAGGGAGTCCCGAGCATGGTTTCCAATCCCTGAGGGAACTGGGGAGGCGGAATGCTCGGGGGAGTTGGCTGGAGTGACGTAGTTGGAGACCTCGGCAGGCTCCTGAGTGATGTTCGTCATCCATGGGTTCCAGAACCCTGTGAGAGCAGGGTGGCGGTCTCCGCTGTTTCGTCGGATGGGGCGTTGGGGTCCTTCTTCCTCGTGAAGGCTCCCCGAATCCGAGTTGCGATTCCCGGCTTCTGGTACGGGTCCCCCTTGCGGGAAGAAGGACGTTCTGGCGGAGGGGGGGATGTCATGGAAGGGGAGATCCGGGGTTACGTTGCGTAGTATTTGCTGAATGTGCTGGAAAGCTTGATAGTGCCTGACTATCCAAGCTGCTACTGATTGTCGTCCGCGACAAAGGGTAATGATGGCAAGAAGCCCGAGCAATGTTCCGATGATGGAAGCAATAAGCTCGAAGAAGTCGTGATTCAGGTCGGCGGTGGTTACTGGTGGCATTCGGTTTCTCAGCACAATTGGGCTTGAGAAAGGGAAGGCGTAAGCTTCGAGCTAATTGTTAAGCCCAAGCGTCACGTGGACTGATACACGTGATAAACAGATGTTCCTTTGCACTTCGAGGAATCACCTGAGTTCACTTATATGTATATCTGAACGGTGTGACTCAAGGTCAGAAGTAGACTCGAGGTAGAATGGTGTGAATAAACTTTAGCTCGAAGCTGGGGTATCCCAGCGAGAGCTACGGTCCTTAAATACTGTGTCGTCATCTGCTAATTATACTACTGCCTATTGTGTGTGTCTGCATCCATTGTGCTCGTTGTCCTTGAGCGTCGCTACCGTACATAAAAGGGTGATTGTATGTCGTCGAGCGTGACCGTCATAGTGTAACGATGGGAGGGTTTAGTTGTGCTGACTAAGCTTCCCACGGTCTTGTGCCTTCTGACTTAGCATAAATAGGGGTAAAAGGAAAGAAAACAGGAATAAATCGTAACACATTCCAGTATGTTCTAGGATTTTTTGAATGTACTGTGGTTGAGAGAGTGTGAGTGTTTAGTTTAGATGGTCTCTGTGTATTTCAACACCAAGGAGGAATGAAGTTGGACCTAGATCATGAAGTTTGAAGTGCTTCTTGAGATCATTGACAACATGTTGTGCAGACTCCATGGACTTTATGGCAATTGTTACATTGTCAACAAACACCAGAACAATAATCCAAGCATCATCTCTCTTGTACACCCATATGCTGTGTTCACAGTGTACTCTGTCAAAGCCCATCTTGGTCATAGTGCTGTGGAGCTTTTTGTGCTATTCATGCCCAGCCTGCTTCAGTCCATAGATGGACTTGAAGAGATGAAGCACCCAGCTCTTGTCCTTTGTCTCAAATCCCTCTGGTTGTTGAAGGTATATCTCCTCTTTTAGATCACCATTCAGAAATGCTGATGAGATGTCCACACTCCAGAGCTCTAGGTTCTCAAGTGCAGCAAGAGCGAGGACTGTTTGGATAGCTGCCTATTTTGGAGTAGAAGAGAAGGTTTCAGTGTAGTCAAAACCTGGCTGCTGTGAGTACTCTTTTGCAACATAGTGTGCCTTATAGCATTCAATGGATCCATCAGGGTTACACTTCACTTTGAAGACCTATTTTCCACCTATAGCCTTTTGCTCTGGAGGAAGCTTCACAAGCTCAAAGGTGCCACTCTCCTGCAGTGCATTTAATTCCTGCTGAGCTGCCTCATACCATTTTTCACTTTCCTCTCCTGGCTGAGTCATTGCCTCTGCAAGTGTCTTTGGTTCATCATTGGATGCAGATGCTTGGTTTGCCATCTCTACTGCTGTCTGAAATGCAAGCTCAAGAGCTTCTGTATATGTGATATAGTCATCATCATGCAATACAAAAGTCATTCCTGTGACAACATCTGTCTCAGTAAGTTCTGGCTCAGCAGTGGTTTCATCAATGGGTTCATCTGAGTCTGATGAGTTCATTGCATTGGTGCCAGAATGTTTATGGTGAAAACTATGTCCAGTGTTTGGAGATGGAATTATAAGACCTTTAGAGTTGTATTATAGCTTGAAGCATGTCCAAAGACATGAAAGTGGTGAAGAGGGTGTAGGAGATGTCAGAAGACTTGATAGTGGAGTAAGAGATGATCCTGGAGATGTTTGTATATTTGATAGAGTGGACAGAGCTGGCAAGAATAGTGAGGATGATAATGATAGGAGTTGCTCAGATGGTGGAGATGGCTTATCAGTAGGTATGTTCTTTCCCCCTTGATGAGGCATCATCACATCAGGTATAGCAGTATCTGTGCTGTTATATCTGTTTGTGGGAGATATATCATCACCAAGAGGATTTATAATATTTTTGTGATTTTCAGGAAATACATGCTCATTGAATACAGCATGGCTGGAGGTGATGAACCACTGTATAGAAGAGTTCCAGAATAGCCAGCCTTTTACTCTCTCTGAATATCCAACAAAGATACATTTTTGGGTATGTGACTCTAATGCTTAATGTCTCTTTTTTCATACTAGCACATATGCAAGGCATCCAAACACATGAAAGTGGAATATATCTGGTTTTCAGTGATTTGGGTCCCATTCTGTGAAGGGTGTGGTGTTTGGAAGAGGATCTGTGGGGATGCAATTTTGGATATGAATGAATACTCAGAGAGCAAGGTTCCAAAATGATAGTGGGAGATGTGACTCATTTAGCATGACAGTGATGGCCTCTGCAATTGTGTGGTTGGTTTGTTCTGCTGTGCCATTCTGATATGGTTCATCAGATTCAGTATGTTGCCTTTTGATCTCATGCTCAGTACAGAAGTTGACAAACTCCTTTCCCATATATTCACCATCTTTATCTTCCTGAAACTCAATGATTTTGAGTCCTGGGTGGGTATTCTCTGCATATGCTTTGAACTGCTTGAAGGCATTAAAAGCATCACTTTTATACTTCAGAGGTGCAACAGCCCAAGTGTCAGATGCACTGCAGATGAATGTTATCCAGTAGTGATAGCCCTCTGGAGTTGCAACAGGCATTGGACCTTTGATATCACTGTATACTTGCTCAAGAAGGTGTTTCTTTTGCTCTGAGGGGCCATGAGGAACATTGTGGTGATGCTGTTTGCCAGCAAGACATGGTATGCAGATAGGATCAGTTGGGGGGTCTGACTCTTGCTTCATTCCAGTTACTAGCTGCTTTGTATGCATGTGCTATATAGTGTCCATGTTTTGATGACAGCAACATCTGTGCTAAAGTGTGTTGTCCATCTGGCAGGTACTTGTAGAGCTTGAGTTTGCAATGATAGTGGTCAATTTTGAGAATGAATGTGTGGTAGCATTGACATAGCCAATATTGCTCTTGTTTACAGTTGCTGTGAATCAGATCTTTTCACCCTGGCTGAAAGTGATATCTGATCCAGCAATGAAGATCTTAAATCCCTTTTTCTGTGTAAGATGATAGGGTGATAAGAGATTACTTTTCAATGCTGATACATGTAATGTGTCAAGAAGTTCCACTGCTGAGCCTTTCTCCCCCTGAATCTCTGGCTCCAATACTACTGACCCAATCCCTGCTGAATAAATGACTGAGTTGTCTGCAAGATGAATGGGAACAACATGTGGAGCATAGAGTCAGAACCATTGTCAGTGAGGGGTCATATGATGAGAAGCACCTGTATTGGTATTCCAATAAGACACAGCAAGTGATGATAAATCAGTACTTGCCTGGCTAGTGGTCTTCTCCTTTGTCTCAGCAGAGTTAGCAGCTTCCAAATCCTTCTTTCCAGCCCTCTTGTGATGATTCTTCCCAGCAGTACAGTCAGCAGCACATTCACAGTCCCATTTAAGTGAGAGCTTCTTGATTATACATTCTTCTTCTGCATGATTCTCATGAAGGCACCATCCACATTTTGCAGCAGCATTGGTAGCCTGATTCATGGCTGAATGGAAAGGTGTGGCTTTGAGAGCAACGGAGACTGCTGAATCACCAGCACACAGCTTCTGATTGTTTTCTTCATTGTGAAATGCAGTGCAGAGTCCTTCAAGAGTGAGTTTATTGGAGAGAAGGAATAGCGATGTGATGAAGTTTCCAAATTCAGGCTGAGGGAGTGTGCAAATCAGGGCCATAATGAGAAGCTCTTCTTCTAACTGCTGGAGGCCAAAATGAGCAGGACACAGAGCACAGATATGACTCATGATTTGAGTGCCCTGACTGGCAAGGTCTGGAAGTGATTCTTCTGTCTTCTTCTTGAGATTGAAGAAGCTGTTGTAGGCTACAAATTGAGTCACTGGTTTTCTTTGCGGATGGTGTGCCTTTAATGTGTCCCACATCCTCTCCAGATTATCAAGACAGCTCTTGACATGAGCCTTCTGGGATTCATCAAGGCAGAGGTAGATTGTCAAAGCCTTTTTTGATTGTGTCGAAGGATGGCATGATGTATGTGGTGATATCGTTTCAGTAGTGAAATGACTGGTGGAGAGATAGCAGGGCACAAGCAAGATGCCAAGAAAAAAACTCAAAATAGGCCTTAAAGTGCGGGGCCCATAACCTGTTGCAGGCAGGTTACTTTTACGCAGTGGATAATAGGCCAGACTGAGTACGACGGTCAATTGCTTATTGGCAGAGGTACGTATGACTACTACTTACCTGAGTATGACGGTCAATTGCTCAAAGGCAATTGACCATCGACTCAGGACAAAACTGTCTATGCTTATATAAGGTTGACATCAGGTACTTGTGTCGTCCCGCAACAGACCGCCGTCGTGACTGCCCGTTTAGAGTGAGAGACGATGTTGTTCGATGCCTGACCGGGGGGACCGTGAGAAATGAGCAGAGCATTGAAGTGCGGGAAAGACTTAAAAAAAAAAGACATACATATGCTAGAATCCCGGGGATACTTGCCGAACAGCCTGCGTTAGCCAAAAATATTCCTGTTAAGAGAGATCATCAGTAAAAGGAACGAATGCAGCTCCGGACTCACCAGTGTAACACCAGCCAGCACGACTTGCGTACGTCGTCAACACCAGTCCGATTATAGTCATCAGTGCTTGTATAGCGAGGAACAAAGCTCTCATGCGATATCTGTCCGACAACCACACAAAGGATATGACACTAATAGCCTGCAGGAACAAAATATATAAGCTGCCAGTCCGATTTGAAACAAGTGTTCGACTACATACCGCGAAAACGTATGGAGGAGCAGTCTGTCCCGTTGATGTAGGATAGATCCATTAGCAAAGCCATGACTAATCAATCAGAACAACTCAAAAGCAACAGAGACATCTGCAAACCCCAACCCATCCCACTCAAAATTGAAGTCACGAAGAACCTACGACAAACAGTCAGTCAAGGGATTATTAAAGAAAAAGCCAGAAGACGAACCCGATCGCGTACGCTGGGACCGTTGCACACAGATACATCAAGGCTACATTTATTATGAACAACAAAGTCACGGAGATAAAAGTCGAGATGCTCACCAAATATCCAGACTTTCCAATCACTGAGATGCAGCAGCACCTTTCCCCTCAATGAATCAGGCAACGAATCACCGCGGTCCTCTTCAATACGCCGCAACACCAGGGCAGTCTGTTCAGCGGTAAGGAATCTATTCCTGTCGGGAAAGTCTGGGATGAATATCCAAGACGCGATCCCAAAAACCATGGTGGCCGCGCCATCGATGATCTGCAAAAGAATCAGGAACACCCGTCGAGGATCTTCAAGGTAAAAGTTCCTCACAAAGATCCAGGACCATCCCTCGAGGCCTCCTTTGCCATCAAGAAGGCTCAGTGCGTAAGCCAAGATGGCGCTGAATCCACCAGCGAGGATCGACGTCATGTACAGCCCAGCCAACCTGCATCAATCAGGAGGGATCAGCAAAATGGTAATAATAGTCTGTACATCCCGGATACTCATACTTCTTCTGAACTTCATCGCGTTTGTACCTAGCGCCAATGAATGCGAGGGTGAAAAAATACGCAAATAATCGAGGCGCTCACCAAGTAGTCACGATAAACACCAATGCTGGGAAAAACCCCGCCTGATACAAAAAGATAAGTTACCGGGATGATGATGCGGATAGCAATATCCCCCCTATCTCGAGAACGCCTAGAAGGGTCCTGCAGAGTGCTAAGTATCCCCAAGTCGGAACGAAGCCCATTCCCAGTTGCACAGCACCGCTCAGGAGATTCCGGGCTCCGATTGCGCGCAAGCACACATTGCTGGGGAGTTCGCTACAAAACATAATGGGTAATCAATCAGCGCGTCAAAGGGATTTTAAATGAGGCTAGAAGACGAACAGAAGGGTATACGGTACGAAATAGATACATGATACGACGCTGTAGCGGCCCCCGACATCCAGTCCCTGACAATGGAGCACATGAGTGGTAACCACAGCGAAGCATGCATGCATACGTACGAGATCTGCGCTCATGCTTGAAAGGCGCGCCACGCCCATGTTCGTCCTATCAATGAGAGCCAACGCGTAGAGAGCCCCAAGTAAGGGTAGGAGCCGCATATCAACGCGGCGCCTGTAAAAAAAATTTGCGCAAATCCCACTGGGAGGGACACCAAAAAAAAAGCGACATACACCGTTTTTCGTTCAAAAGACGCATCTACTTGCTTGCTGCTGCCTCCCGCAACTTCTACATCAGACGACAAGGACGACAAAGTTACTGTCGTGTCTTCAGCGGACGTGCTTCCTCTGGAAGACAAGACGGACATGAAAACAGATGGAAGGCCTGAGCGTCGTCTCTTGATGCTTAAATACCTCGACGGAGGAGGCGATGATTAGATGCCGGCAAGGGCAAAAGGAACTTTGAGAGTACGCATCCATAGAGCTAACCCGTGATTCGCGAGTCACAGTGGGTCCAGGGAAAGCATACTCAGCGCTCGCCGTACCAGACGGAAAGCTATAGATAGTTGCATCCGTCGGCCTGGTTGCTGCAAACCGTCGGCCGATTTCCTCCTTCCACCGTGCTCTTTCATCGGATCCACATGACCGACGGCACGAAAGGCTCGAAGAAGAATGACGAAGATGCGTTCAAGTCAGTTGATACTTTCTGACGATTCGGATCGATTAAACTCCGACGGTTCGGAACCAAACAGCACAAAAAAGACCGATATGTAATGTAGCACCCAACTTAAACCCAACGCCCAGAAAAGATCTCTCGACACGCCCATCACACGAGACATTCAGCACTACAGGCTATTTAGGGAGGAAAGCAATCATGCACGAACGATACTCACGTCGGCTTATTCTCCGAGCCCAGCAGCTCTGCCTTCCCACGACAGCATGACATTTCTTTTTCCTCCTCTGCCTCACCCCACAACTCAAGGATCAAGTTCAACGTCGCCGAAATGATCAAGGTCGAAGCAACCGTGAGACCGAGGAGCAAGATAGGCGTGATATGCGCTAAGCGAGGGTGCGACTCAACGAGGACGAAAAGGATCGGGTAGGCGATGAAGATGACCAAGACGCACTCGCTCACGAACTGAAGCATGGCAGGTTAATCGAACGGACAGCGAGCAGTGGCGAAAAGGAAAAGGCTTCGCAAAGAGAGTGTCGTTACTTATATAGAGGAGAGAAGCAGGTACGACCCGTATCATGAGGTCAATTCTTGGAGGCTTGGCAGTCTTGGTTCCTGCCGAGTCCAACACCCTTCGATCCCCTTTAGTGCGGGATCCGCGCCGCATCGATGTCTGGAGAGACACCCGGAGAAATGAGAAGGCCCTCTTTCAATAAAGATGTCTTACGCAGAGAATCGCGGACGTGCTGGTACCTGAAGCACACATCGAAGTGTCCACAAGCGACAGACGAGAATCAGCGAAAAAGATGCACACCTACAAGATTATCAGCAAATCGGCACAGGCTGCGAAACTTCCTGATGCCTGAAAAGCTCTATGAGTACAAGCTGTCTGCATGAGCATATCAGTCAGAAACTCGAAAGTCAGCGAAACTGTGTACAATCTCATCCAGCAAGTCTTGCTGCAGAAACAGTAGAAATCGCACCGTCATTAGAACACCCTTGGCCGAAGAGAAATGACGGTCATGAAATCAGAACAATTCCCTGTAGATCAGAAATACTGACTAATTTTCCCTTCCAAGGGAACACGAGATTCGTGTTAATAACTCATATTGTCATGGGAAAATATATAAGTTTGCGAGTATGACTCAAACCGAGGCAGAAAATCACTAGCATCAGCAAGATAAGAGAACCGAACTGCCGCATTATCCTGTTTCGATCCTTAGTGTTACTCAATGTACCTAATCATAGAACTACCGCAAATACAGATGTCCATCCGAGTTAAATATACAAATTTGCAGCTAACATGGATATATACACCATACTCTTGAAGAAGACATGTTGAGGCCAGCCAACGAAGCACGGCATGCTAGAGACCGTCCCAGATTCTGGACAACGAAAAAGATGTGTTAACAATGCGCTGAAGAATTTCTAGACGTTGAGGACACACCATAAACACCGGAAGTAACACACAGCCCAAGAATAACCGGCGAAGGGTCAGAGAGCAAAGAAATTAACCACTTAATGGAGTAATGAAGCCTGTCATCCTCGTACACCGACACACCAGCTCCAAGCACAAGCGCGCGGTCCACAACCCGCAGGCTTGCTGAGGTCAGCCAGACCATCTAACCCACAAAACGATCATTCCGGGCTAGGGCATGCACATACAAGATGGTTCATATAGTCTACAAGCGCAACAGTGGGCACGAAAAGCGCTCTTGGGCACCGACCGTAACCAATGTACTAGACATAGCAAACGCGTCGTGGGGATCGTCGCATGATTGAATGGCGCTGTGGCTAGCAGAAATAGACTCGCGATAATCCCATGGTCAGACACTGATGAAGCAAATGGAAAGCCGACGGCATCGTCTATATAACGTAACAACAAATTCGAGGATCCTGTACGAATGCCTAATCGGTAAAATACATTTGCAATTCTTTTGAGAAAACGAACGACATCGAAAGAATCGAGACCTTCAAAGCAGCACAAGCAGGGATGAGGTCCTTATCCTCATGACATGCAGCCCCCTCTACTGGTTTGCCCTTCAGCCAACATCCTGGAAGATGGTGAACTATTATCCAAAATGTAGTACCATGTATGAGTCTCTTCTGTTCCTAAGCATAAGGTTCATCAATCAATCTTTCTCCATTAATTCTTTTATCCTATCCATAATTATATGCATTGTCTGCTCATGTAGACAGTGATCTACTTTGAGCACAGTAACTATCTCCAGGTTCAAATAGTCATCCTAGCTAAGGATATCACTTATCAATGCCCAATCAATGGTATCCAGATTGCCAGATCCTGCACAATTGAATAGCAACTGCCAAGGGTCAGAATGACCTCTCTGATAGATGACCTACTGATTTTCCAGAGGATTACAGGAATATACCTCTTGCCTTTCTGCCCTGAAGATGGAAACTTATCTGTATAGAGCCAATTGAATGTGATAGACTCAAGATTCAGATGGTAGTCAAGGTTGATGGCACAGTAGAACTTGGCAACTAGTAGGTAGAAGATTAGCTCAGTTCACTTCTAAACCATAATATTGTAAACAGTTATATATACTGCCATCATCCTTATCATCTGCAACAATCATGAAACTTATTGATATGCTCAAGCATTTGAGCAATGATCCAGCCATGGATATAATTTTCACCATCCAACCAAGGGCACAAGTGTTGTTAATGTGGATTCATCAGTGATGACAAAGATGCAGAGAGTGTAGCATTTTGAAATCAAACTAAGATCTCTTCATGCAGCAGGTCTTTTAAGAACATGGGGGCATCTGGAAACATGGAAAGCAATGCTCTACATGAGTGCAGGGTCTGGATCAATTGATCAAAGGTAGAGAAAATGCAAGAGTGGAAAGCCAAATGTGTTATCATGGTGAAGATGGATAACTGGATGAGAGTGTAGAGGATTTCATGCCACTGCATGCACCCATTGTCTTGCATGGAGGTCTCAGTCTGTAACTACTATATTGTCTGCATCAATAGCTTGTCTTTTAGTTGTCCTTACCATTACTACCTTTGTTATTTGTCTCACTTACTTATGCCACCCATTAGACTACTAGTATATAAGTAGCTACAGGACATGGACTAGTGACATCTCTCGCCCTTCCTCATAAATATCACTCTCTTCTGCTGCCAATGATAACCTTGTACCTACAAGGGACTTCTTAAAGTCCTCCTCAGACATAAAGTCAAATCTAGCATCAGGGATATCCAGCTTCTTGATATTCAGGAACATGGAGAGATCAAGAGTAGGAAGAACTCTGTGTAGCCAAAGCTCCTCCACATCCACTGCATAAGGTAGCAGTCCATCTTCAGACATGTAAACAGTCATCTTTTTGGCACATGGACCAAAGGACAGTATGGAATGGATGAAGGAGCAGAGTGGGTAGTAATGAGCTTCAAGAAAGCTGCAGGGGCATACCACTACACATGATCAGCATCACAATTCATGCCTTTCTTTGTTCCCAGAAACCTATGTTAAGATAACAGTAGATGCCCCAAAAGTTTCTATTGTTTGAATAAAAGGATATTCAACAATGCGTGATGCCAAGTGACAGTGCTTGAAGAACCTGACTACTCAATGTCTCCTGAATCATCAGACTCAGGGACAAATGATGCCCACATCTTGAGCAGCCTTTCGCATAGTTCATCCTCAACATTCTCGCCTGTCACGCCAATCGAAGCTGAAAAGGGTAGATGCTATAGATCCTCAAGCGACGGGTCCCAAGAGAGGCTCACGCTTCGAGGAGCTTTCCGCACAGCTCATCCTCGAAATGCCTTGAAATTTTCTTGTATCTCGACTTTTACTATCAGTGCCATAGAAGTCGGGGGCGTCTCGTCTTCTCTTCGGAAGATCTATAAGCTCGATATCTTCCAAGCCTTAACATTATTCAAAGATCCAACATCATTCTTGATGCAATGTACCGTTGATGCCCCTTCCATGTGTGTAAAAACTTTCCCTTCAAAGTGCTGAATCGAATATCAAACTATATGCGCAGATTTGCATGATGAGACAGTACAGGTAGTAGTATTCACGACATCGAACACATCCTCGCCGAGATTATACTTTTGCACGTTTATGCCGGACTCTGCATAGTCAGTGAGAATGCGAACATTACTACCTTCGATTGTCCAGCAGATTTTTTTTCGAGTTTATCAATGGCGGCCACAGTCAAAGATCTTACAACTGATCATACAGCCGTGCTCAAATCCAAGCCTGGGGAAGGGAGTGACCTTATGTGCAGTGCCGACGAACCAAACCTTGACAGCAAATCGACGGTATCGGGATCGCAGAGATCGTTAACACAACTTCTCTGATAGAAGAAGAGGTGATCTTTTGGAGAATAAGGTGAATATGTCTGGCGGCGTCATTCCGGCTTGGGAGAAAATGACTTAGTACGAGACCGTCGAAAGTGATAGACTCGACGTTTGCATTGTAATCAGAGTTCGCCATGCGGCAAAGTCTGTCGACTGGTACCGATGGGAGTGTTGGCACGGTCCGGTTCCTCCGCGATCACGTGTTGCATTGCCGTAGATTCCCGTAGGGATAACGGAGACTATCACTAGCTATTCCCGATTCCCTCTCTTGGACCTAGCAATACGATTCCACCAAACAAGACGTCAGCGTCGTTTACTTCAATGACTTTCGTAGTACATACCACCGTGCGACATATTAGCAGGAACCTAACATATGCTCAATTTCTTCAACAATGTGCCGAATATAGGTATGACTTGGAGAATGGAGTCGGACCAGTCGTCGATGTCAATCATCAGCGATGACAGAGACGGAGGAAGCACAGCGGCTCGGGAAGGTGTCACCGATGCTAGAGACGGACTCTCCATGAGCACGATGAACCTCAAAATCGTAGACTCCGGTGCTCCGCGTGAGGACAAAACACGGACTAAATGGCCCAGAGTGGGTAAGGCACAAGAATCAAGTTCCAAATGCCTGAGGCTTGTGACGCTGAATACGATACTGAGGGTTTTGTCAAAATCCTCCCCTGAAGTGGAAACGCGGCGCGAGGAACGACGTAGTACAAGACATTATTTACTCTGGAAATTGATCCAATTCTGATGTCTCTCATGAGATGCTGTCTATTTTAGCGAATGAAGAGTTTACAAGCGAGACTGCAGGACTTCGGGAATGACCTGCCCCGCCTGACTGGTCATTATCATCAATGATGACAGGACAACAGAATGGTATGCCTCCTGCCGTACGTGTGCTCAAGACCCGACCAGCCTCTACGTTCCTCTGTGTTGACAGGAATCTATTCGTTTTACTGCTTGTTCACCCATTGGGACAGGGTTTGTCTGTGGAGCACAGTTAGTACAAGCGATGAAAATACGATAAATGATCTCACTTCCTCCTGTAAAGGGAAGAAATAAAATGATTCGAAATGCAGCGATGGCTGATCCCTGTCTGTGCATATCAGAATCAAGCGCCAAATAGTTATATGGACCCACCACCGGCACGTCCATAGACATTCTATGCATTTGGGTTCGGAGTGTGTCGCCACATCAAGTCTCTGGTGTCGAAGGGCATACCGTTAGCTGCTGTATGAAATATAGCTGACTGTAGCTTGCCTTGATATGCGGAAGGTATATCTGCCTCATCTGTTCGCAAAAAAAATAGTCGACATTGATCGACACCTACGTAGTGTTTTACAAAAGATAACCGACAACGTGAGGGATGCTTTCCCTCATCACCACTGTCCTTCCGTTGTAATTCTGTTCGGTTGGGCTGGATAGAAAAAGACAGTGTATGTGGGAGGTATGATTACGAATACTATTCATGCAACAATTTTAGCGACGTAAGTATCAGAAAGAGTCGCTAAGAAGAGACGAAAATGCTTACAGTTCACAGATGGAGATGATGAAGGAAGGCATCATTCCGAAAAGGGTATCAATAACAGACATGCGAACGTCGTGTTTCCCAAGCGCAGAGCTGACTGTAAGAAGTTCTTGATGCACAGCCGCAAATTTTAAAAGAGAAAAGCTCCGTGAATGAAAGTGTTCCTTACCCATGACCTTCTAGATCATCAGACGTGCGACTTCGGATGGATGTACCTTTGTACATGCCCGAAGTACCCAGTCGCCTGATATCGGCAAAGTGAATAAAAGGCTTATCCGTCTTATTGAAGCATTAGAAATTTAGCACGCAAGCATGCCACACGACCACCCAGGTGGCCACATGAAATTCTTGCCCGTCTTCTTGTCCCGTTTGGAAGACAGACAGATACAATACTCCGTATCCTACTAATCTCGTTCTGTCAGCGGAGGATATTCGCCGTCTTCAATCTTCCTGACTGATATCAATCGGGTAGAGATCTCCCTTTGGCGGTCATGCAGAAACAGACACTTGAAGCACGTCCATTGGCGGACCGACGAATGATTGGGAACGATAAGTGACGCGTCCGAAGCGATCATGAAACAGGAACAAACAACGCCTTCTTCCTGTCTTCATACACGACGGCGGCGACGCGCGTCCTCCCATCAGCCCTTACAAGTTACAACCCATTATATTTCATCATGAGGTTCGTATCATTTTCTTTTTCAAAATAAGAAATAGTTTTCCCACTGCTTTACGTCCATAGAAATGACCGATCACTATGGCCATTGGTCCGCCACTGCCATCGTGGACTCCATCCACGTTTCCCTAACCGAGTCCGAGTATTACTCATTTGTTACGCCTAACCGGGTCCACTAGCTCAATGACCTGGTGATGGTCTAAGTCTAGACTCAGCCTTTTTACTTGAACCCAAACCTGGGGCAACGGCTTCGATGAAGAACTGTCGGAAAGCCTAAAAGTTCAGGACGTTCAACTGTAGCTGAGGTGGTGCAATTCTTTTTCTTTGAGAAGATTTTATTTCTTTATAATAAATTCATGTACGCCCATTTTAAAGATGTGTCCACTGACCTGCTAACAGGGCAAGGCATAGGTTTTCATTATGTCGGTGTCCGTGGGACTCTTCAGCTACCCCAACCGGAAAGAGCTCCCAAACTTTCCATCAGGAACGATGCAGCCCGAAAATCCTCTACATGCACTTGGACGATACTCAGGCTTCTCCTGACCGGCGTGTTCAACGTGCATGCGCAACATTGAACATTTCGGACTTAATTATAGTAATATCTGAATTGATGCCCCATTATTCTTCTTGTCGAATTGTCTGGAATGCTTGTATCATGCTATCACATCCAGAACAACGGCGTAAGCGCTCATCCGCGATCCTGTTTCTTGATTTCTCTTGTGTAATCCGATACTTTAGTCGTCGGAGCGATAAACCTGTGTTCCCGGCAATGCAGTCGGTGATCCGAAGCCCGCCTGGGAGTCAACAACCTGATGGCATGTTTAACCTCAGTGCGGGAAGGCGAAGACCGTGGGGTAGCGTGTATGTTCAGATATCAATTTACTATTCCTAATGATGGCTTGTTCACATTTTTCAGATTATGATTCTGGCAGTAACAGGCTCGATAATTACCAATATTCATGATGCTAATTTGGCTCTGATAACGACGTTAGCGAGTTCTCTCCCTCGCCTCCATGGAATTTTTCTCGTGTTACTCTCATTTTTACCGAAGAAAAGGGGTGTTGAAAGCACAATAAGCGCAATCCAGGTCTCCGGGAAACAGGTACGGGCATCATCTCATGGCTCTGTACCTTTTAGATGACCCGATGACACCAATGTCTCTAGCACCAACGCGTCTTAATTAATCCATGTGCAATATAATTATCTCGGATCACCGCGTCTCGTCGTGATCCACTTGAGGCATTTTTACACGAAAAATTTTGTCTACGAGGTCCTGGGAGGTGCGGCGGCATTGTTTTTTATCTTTACTAACCAATCTCTAAATATGCCTAGCGCTAGCGTCATGAACATCACGTCCTAGCATGTTCAATAGATTGTGTGTGAAGCTCTCATCCGAGTCTCGGCGCTCTCACATATTTCAATGCAGATATAAACGGAGTCCAAAGGGCTGTCTTGTTCTCCAAGTTGACATGGCTTCCCCCCTCTTTTATCTGCTCACTCTGACTCTCTTTCTCGCTAGCTCTCGCGGCCAACGACAGGGAACTATCGGCCCTGTGGGGGACCTCGTCGTCTCCAATGGAAATGTCAATCCCGATGGCTTTGAACGCCTCGCTGCATTGGCGAACTCGCAGATAGATGGCGCGCTCATCACAGGAAACAAGGTTGGCTTCTCAGCCTCCCATCCACAATGACATTTACGATTGTTCTGCGCAGGGAGATACATTCCAAATCAATGTTATCAACCAGCTCGACAACAACACGATTCTTCAGAGCACGTCTATCGTAAGTTTTCTCTACTAGACGATTTCCGCCTCTCATGCCTTCCTCAAGCACTGGCATGGTCTTTTTCAGAAAGGTACTGGTTGGGCTGATGGGCCTGCGTTTGTGAACCAGTGCCCTATCGTGAAAGGCGACTCGTTTCTCTACACTTTTGATTCTGCCGAACAAGCTGGAACGTTCTGGTATCACTCTCATTTGGGTTAGAAATTTCTGCTAGTTATTCCGCCGGCTCTGGAAGATGATGCTAATCATTCTAGCCACTCAATACTGTGACGGGCTTCGCGGGCCTTTGATCATCTACGACCCCAACGATCCACATGCTGATCTATATGATGTAGATGACGGTATGCTGACATGCCTTCTGGTTTGTATTGTAACATGACTTTTCCACAGACAGTACTAGTATCTTGACGCTGTCAGACTGGTACCACACACCTGCCAAACAGTTGACTTTCCCGTAAGTATATTTTCACGTATTATGCAGACACTGGCTAATGATCAACATGTAGCACTCCAGATGCTATACTTATCAATGGCGTGGGACGGTACGCTAACTTCACGTTCGGAATCTAGCAGAGGATATTAATTGGTGACTTAGATGGAGCGAGGACCCCACACATGATTTAGCTGTCGTGAACGTCACGCAGGGAACACGGTACACATTCTCTCTCTGTCTGTAGGTGTCTCTAACGAGTATAATGAAGGTACCGCATTCGGATGATCAACGTCGGATGTGACGCAGCATATACCGTCTCTATCGACAGCCACCTGATGTATTGTTTTTTTCCTCTTCAGTAGTTCTTTTATTCACCTGTGATACGCAGGACAATTATCGAAGTTGATGGTGTAAACATCGTTCCGTACACCGTAGATGAAATCCAGATCTTTGCTGGTATGTTCCTCATCGTCATCTTCTGAACATGAAGACGAGCTAACAAATATTTTTCTTCTTCCTATCTAGCTCAACGATACTCGTTTGTCGTCCGTTTCAGTTTCTCTCCGGTGTCACAGAATTACTGATAGATGCACCAGTTAAACGCGAACCAGTCAATTGGTAACTACTGTACATCTATCTTTTCTCCCCTTCACAAAGCATTCCTTGACGCTGACTTCTTAAGGGATCCATGCTAATCCCAGTGTTGGTACGCAAGGTTTCGAAGGCGGTATCAACTCTGCCATCCTCCGATACAATGGTGCCGATGATGTGGAACCCAATACTGTGAATTTCACTAGTGTGTTGAAAATGAATGAGACTCAGTTGGTGGTACGTCTCTAAATTTGCATACGATTTTCACCGAGACTAACGAATGACTTCTGAAAGACCCTCGAGAATCCAGGAGCCGTAAGTCTAATGTCCTGACCTGATCCATGGCTTTAACCCGGATGTAGCCCGGATCGCCTGAAATCGGAGGCGTCGACGTCGCGCTTAACCTCGACCTCGCTTTCGTACGCCTTCCCTTCTTTTCATCTCACCATCTTCTCTGACTTCTGGCCAAACAGACGAGCGCCGGAACGTTCACAATCAATGGCGTCCAATTTATTCCCCCGACAACTCCAGTCCTTTTGCAGATTTTAAGTGGTGCGGAGAATGCTAACGATCTTCTTCCCGAGGGCTCTATCTACAATCTGCCGCTGAATTCTACAATCGAAATTTCTCTGCCAGGCGGTGTCATTGGTGGAGGGGTGAATCCCTTTATACATTGTGCGCTATGTTATCCCATGCTCATCTTGTTAATACCAGCATCCGTTCCATCTGCATGGGGTATATTCTCGTTCGTTCTCGTTGACTATTTGTTCTCAAGAATTTGCTACCATTAGCACAACTTCGACGTCGTCCGAAGTGCTGGTAGTACCGTGTACAACTATGTGAATCCTGTGAGGCGGGACGTTGTTAATATCGGCACCACGGGAGACAATGTTACGATCCGGTTCACCACCGATAATCCTGGACCTTGGTTCCTTCACTGGTCAGTTGGCTTCCACTACTTTGGATTGAGAGTGAGCTAACGTCTCTCTGTAGTCACATTGATTGGCACTTGCAGGCGTGCGTCCTCTCATCCTGTCTGCTTGGCTGACTTACTGAAGACTCTTTTGTTAGTGGATTTGCCATTGTTTTTGCCGAAAGTGTGGAAAATTGGAACTCTACCATTGATCCCACCGGTATCTCATATACTTCTTTCCTCTTCGTTGGCGTGTATCATGCTGACTTCCCACCCGTAGACCAATGGGATCAACTCTGCCCCATATACAATGCTACGCCCGATGAAGATCTTTAAGATGCTTCCTGCAGCCGGTGTCAAGGGTTATTTTGTATTTTTTGACTTCTTGGACTTCCTTTTGTTTTATGGGTCTGGTCTTTAACCGTAGTTGTTCATTGTCTTGATATGCTTATATATATACCCTATTGATTCTTGTTTTTCTCTCTCATGGCTGTCAAATGGTTCGGAGCTACATTTCCCTGACTACGTCTCTCTACAGAACTTCCAATATATCTGTCGGGGGCTGAAGTTGCATCTAGAATATCCCAGGGTCCTGAGGGCTCGCGGAAACTAGGAGTCGCCATGAGTTTGCAAAATTGAGGGGTTGCACCACCTAAAATTTGTCGGCAGTAAATGCTATGCATCCATTAATGCAAAAGCAAGTCATTCTTGCCAGCCTTAATTCCTAGTAATTTGGCGCGTCTCAAGAGCAAATTAAGAGTAGTTCTCTGAGTACACCAAATGGCCGGCCCTAATTCCCACGTGATCGAACGCGTCGAAATTTACCTAAGATACCTGAACCAAGCCCAGACTCCGTCAGTCACTCTGAAGACTCACCGATGCACTCCGATGCATCCTCCAACGGCTTCACACCTAGTTCGTTTGTTATGTCTGAAGTTGTTTTGTTAAGGGCCGAAGATACTGCTTCAAAACAAGCTGAATCTTGAGATGACAAAGAAAAGACAATTCTTGTGATAGCAGTCCAACTAACATGGCCGCCTTGCTTGTCCGGTCTTGGATTAATGTCTTCGTGCGCCTGAAGCTTTGACAATGCAATCATTCAACATTGTCTTTGCTGAAATCCAAGCAAAGTAATAATGCCAGTGGCAGCTTGTTATATATAAGAACACCTTGCCTTTATTTCCATCATTCACTGGATACACCATGTCTCCTGGATCATTGCGTAGGGGATGCTCCCGCCTCGAGCAGTTTCCCATCGAACTGATCTTCGAAATTCTCTCGCACCTCAGAGTCCCCAGCATCAAGCAAATCGGCTTGGCCTCGTCTAACCTCCGTCGCATATGCATCCCGTTTATCTTCCAAGACGTATCTTTCCATGCCGACAAGGCCCCGCACGATTTTCAGACCGCCATGCGCCGCCTGCGCCCCGTTCCCTGCATCCGAAAACTTTCCTTTCACGATGTCGACCCGAATATCAAACCACATTTGCTGTTGGAGTGGTGCGCCGCAGCCCAAGACCTCGAGATCTGGTCCGTGTCCAAACCAAGGCCATACGTGCGACTTCTATCGGGACTCCGGGAACTCAGAATTGTCAAACTTGATAGGATTATCTTCCAGAGTTTAGCTGACTTTTTCGAGCTTTTTAGAAGTCTGTCGGGCACGGTTAAAGATGTAAGGATTGGAGATGTCGAGTTCTTATCCACGACGGACAGCAATCCAATTCCCTGCACTCGCAAGTGGGTCAAAGTAGAGAGGCTTCGTCTCACCTCCGCTCTAGTTCTGGAGCTCCTTCTACGAAACGATTCTCCCGTCGAATTTTTGCATTTGCAGGTAGCAGAAACCAGAGGTGCCAGTTCACACATCATTAAAAAAATCGGCCATCTCAGCCCTCGTCTTGTCAAGCTGATAATGGAGGATCCTCCCTTGGAATCCAACAATGGTGGGTATCTCCGTGTCCCTTATATATAATGATGTTTGATTACCTATTTAACCTAACAGAACCTCTCGAGCTCCCAACTGTCAAACAATTGAACATCTCGTTCCGTTCATTGCATCCAGGACTTACATCCCTCAACGCTCTCCTAAATGTGTCTGATACCGAATTGGAAGAGCTAACCATAAAACTTCCATTCGAGTTTATCATAAACGAAAGAGGCGAATGGGAGTGGTTGGCGCTGGCGCTGTCACGACGACCGAAGTTGAAGAGAGTGACGATCGTGGCATGGACAAAGTGGTCTAGGACATATAGTCATGTTCAAGTTATGCTCCATGAGTTTCGTCGTCAACTCGAACCGTGGCGCCGTATGGTATTGCAGATTCTGGCGAATGATCGCTTCGATGTCATTGTAGATGTTGCTTATCGTTTCGGAGGCTACTAAACACTTTTAAGTATCGATAATGTTGGTATATGCACCGCACCAATCAAAGTTTTTTAAAAAAGAGCGCACGGTCCTTGCAGATAATTCCAATGAAAACGTGATTGTTCAGTCATAGTTACTGCGAATGGCGAGCAGAAGAGCGCATAATTAGTCCAAAGTGTCCATCTGGTAGTCCATCTGGTATATAAGGGTAACTAAAGAAGAGGAATGGAGATAGTTTGTGCATTATGATATAATAATTAGACTTTGAGAAATATGGATTAAACATAACCGAAGAAATACGTAGAAGGTAAAATGGGGGTAAGGACTGTGTACAGCGTCAGTCCCTGGACCGTACTCACGAACAGCACTTACCTTCAGGCAAAGAATGGGCGCACATGGGGCCGCCTCTCCATACGCCGTGGACTGCCATGGCAACGCAGGTACCTAAACAAATACCGCAACAGTATGAGCACTGCTGGAGACTGGTTAGCGACAGATTGGCGCACAAAGATAATAATGTGGAAACTCACGGTGCGTCGGAGGCGATCTGCCCCGACACGACCGAAGAGGCACAGGCGATGATGAACGGCCACCAGAAGAGCTTGGACATTATTGTGTTGGGAGCGAGAGGCAGGAGTTTTATAAAAGACAGGGAAGTCTGAGCTAACCCAATGAGTAGTGGGTGGTGAAGAACGCGCTTTTAAGGCTTCTTAACATTCCGTAAGGTGGAGGAACCCAGGGAAAACTGTGGCACCTTTGCAGCAGCAGCAGTTTCCATGACTGCCAGGCCCCCTCAACATGCCCGTGTCACCGGCAATGTAATGTTATCTGGCCCTGCTTGCCGAAGTCGGGCTAGACTGTGAGATTAGCTGAGGCTTACGACGGACGCAGCCCACCACTACAACAAGCAGACAGCGAGACCGGCAGACAGCGGCGACGTTGTGATGATCATATCATGACTTTAGAGGGTTCTCAACATCGGTATGAGGATAAGACGACTAGTTCTCTCCATTTCGCTGTATGATTCGTATCAGAGTCAAATAAAAGCATCGAGGGGGAAAATAGCGTTACGAGAGAATAGGTTCCGAACAAGGTCCGAGTTCTCGCTTTGCACTTCTCAGCATTCCATGTCATTCTTGTTCAGGAGAAAATTATTCCGACGGAATCAGGAGCATGAGATGTCTTGTACATATATGCGCATATGCTAATCATGTTCAGGATCTAGCTTGGAAAATAAGAAAACGACATACAAACAAATTGGAGCTCTCAGCGTAGCAATGACTTCCATAGAACTATCTTGTAGTTCGGGTATCATTGGCACGATAAGACACGCGTCCAATGAACATTTCGGTGCCGAAAAGCACATGGTCATAGGTTGCCGTCAAGTCAACGGTGCTCGGATGCACAAGGACAATGCATTTCGTTGAGCGAGGCATCATCGCATTGACAAGAGAACACCGGAGTTTCTACATCTGCGCACATGGTCAGGTAATTGTTGCACAAACCTACCGCATACTGATATTTTCCAATGGACAGTGGCGGGCGATTCATCTAGGCACACGAGAAGGAAATTTTATCGCGATCGGTGGAGAAAGTCTAGAAAGAATGATCAAACTGACAACCATCTTACGACACACATACCGCGTTTTCGCAAACATCCTAGACTCTCAAACTGAGCGCTGAGATTGCGAGGAGAATTCGTACCGAAGTTTTACCTCTCCTAGATCCTGGTGGAGGCTGTGGTAGTGTTCTAAAAACCCGCTCTGTAGCAAAGAGAAGGACAAATGTTGAATGCAGCGACACCTCAAATGCTTGTTTGACTGTTCCTAGAAACTTGTGACGTCACGAGACAAAATGGGATTTCCGTTTATTGCGGCTCGACTTCGCCTTTTAAGCCTGCCACTTTGATTTCGAATTTGACCTTACTACCAGAATGCGTCAACGGAGAAAACTATTGAGGAGCCCCGCTCCCAAGGGCTCCTCCGGGGTTCTGCCGGAGCCCTAGGATTTCTCAAGGCTTTGCTTCGGTCGGGGGACCGATCCAAGCCGGACGCTATGACGACCGTCATGATGTCATGCCCTCCCGCCCGCTCATCGGACACGGCCGCCAGAACCTATAGTTGAAGTAGTCTGCCCGAGAAATCAATATAGTTTGTACTGAGCTCTCGCACAGAGCAGTTCTTTCTGATGTCGTAATTTCATATGTGTTCCACTCCTTGCTTACTGTTTCCTATCCACTTTGCTGTTGTTGAAATCGAGAATCATGCAGCATCATTGATCGTACCAAATTCTTACCTCAATACCGTCAACAGCACGGTCAAATCCTTTGCATGCACTCCACCTAAAAACATCAGCACATATTCGGTTTAGTAATGATGTAGTGCCTGCTCGCACTGTGTTCCATGCATCACATGCTGCCATTAAGCCCCTTTTGCAGGGTATTTAAACTTAGGAACAGCTCGACGATTCATTGGAACGGCTGCATGATATCAGGTACCTAGGTCCTAACTGCTCATCTTACATTAGGATTTACTCACTGTCTATCTAGGTGGCAAGATATCCAGCAATCAAGGCAAAACAGACTACAAGATCCACCAGCTCTCAATCCAGTTAGTCGTCCATGTACTCAGTGGCTCACAGGTGCTCTGGAAGGTCATCCTCATGGAGGTGGAGGTGCACCATGTTGAGATCCATATGCAGTGGCTTCTGAGAATGCAATGGTATCTGGACACTTGCCGGATTCAAGGCCATACCCATCCTAACTGCCCTAGTCTGCAGAACTTGAATGCTCGGTAGATGCTGTATCAGTACGATAATCCTGTAGGACAAATTCCATGATCCCATCACATGCAGCAACTGTCCGGGAAAGCCGCCACACCGGTGCTCCTCGCCAGGGAGGAGTCCCGCTCCAAGGGGCTCCTCAATAGTTTATTCCACCTCTGGAACGTCTACAGAACTATGAACATTATGTTGAGGAACAAATGTCAAAGATAAGGACTCCGAACTCGCCGTGTTACCCGGCCAGACCTACTCTCGTTGGGTACGCCACGGTGCCGTACAGCAGCGCTCCCATGCGATGCGTAGATGCAGAGCCGAATGCGCTAAAGAAGGTAACCCTGAACACTATTCCTGTTTTGTGGGATAATCGCTGACACTCAGTGAGGACCAGGTCCTATGGCGAGACCAATTTGTCCCTTCTCCTTTTCTGAAGCCCAGCGACACGCTCCAAGGAGTCATTCATTCATACGCGGAGGTGCCAGCGATGGGTTCAAAGGCCGCTTGAAATGGAGCTAGAAACGGTGGCACGAATGAGGCGTCCTCTCCCACGATGGCCTTGCAATGTCGAAGGCTCAGAACCTGAAAAATCTGAGTGCACGAGGTATTTATCTGCTATCCAGGACTTTACTTTTGCTTCTGTCCACCGTTGGGGTCCGATGCACCTTATGTTCATTAGCCTCGGGATACAACTTGCAAAGGGCTTGAGAAGCGAACAAAAAAGCGGCGTATCCCAGCTAGAAGTCATCCTGGGCTAGCACAAGCATCTCCGACTTCTCTGAGCTACTCGCAGATGTTATCAATAAAAACCTTAAAAACAGACTGCTAAGCATTAGTTAGAACATCGAAGAGAAAGAAAAACATGCCATTAAAAATCTTCTTGATGCTACTCGAAAATGTACACCTTTTTCAGTCTATGATGCACATTTCTGAAAGGAATGGGGGCTCAGCAGAGTGTTACAGGATCCAGAAACATACCGCATCATAATGTCCCATCATTCCTCTGATATATGGCGCAGGTCCTACCGAAGAATTTTGTTTTGGTGCCGATCCATCGTAGGAATCGAATATAGGTTCCATGGTCGTCCCAGGTCTCTTGATAGGACAGCCTAAGAAGAAATTCCATTATATTGCAGACGCCACCATCCAACTGAGAGCGGGGTACGTCAGGTAAGAAGCAGTAAACCTCCGGCATATTGAGGAGCATAAGATAACAAATGGAAGAATGATGCACATAAACCTCATTCATTCCTTACAGCTTCGATGAGCTGTTTGTCCAGATTTGCTAGAGTAGAGGGTGATTCATCGACTAATGTACGTAAATCGGCTTTTTCGGCATCCAGGAGCGGGTCATTGCAATGCAAGAGGTCCTTGATGCGAGATGACAGCGATTCTGGTGGGGCTTTAAAGGATTAAGATCAACACTGCATAGTACCTAGAACACTGTTACACGTACGAGCGCCGGTGGATTCCGTCTGGAGTGACAGTTGTAAGAAATTTGCAACGGCGCTTTAAAATCTTCCGAACCAATGCTTTTTGGGATTTCAGAATGAAATAAAGCGTTGCCTATCAGTGAACCTGAACCACTGACAGGATGGAGGAAAGATAGTGCATCCTTGATGAAAAAGGGGCAATGAATTTCAATTTCAAAACAAATAAAATCACGTGGTCGCGGTCAACAACGCGATAAAGACGCGTCTTGGGCACACCTGACCTGCTTGGCCGCACCGTGTGTAGAATATAAAAATCTATTTGAGATAATGACACGCCATGTTGTGATATTATGAGAGCGCCTTCATCCTCGCCTCGATCTCCCATACATCAACCACAGACCTCAAAATCGCGTCTTCTATTCCCGAGCAGGAATCACGATGGTCCACCCAAAGTCGAGTCATATCCGCACCGACATCCGGAACAAACGAGCCTGCCGTCTTGGCTCTAGCCCAAGGTCCTATGTCGTCCTCGCGCGACGGAGGCGAGAACGCGAATGTGAACGTCTTGATGATAGCAAACATTGGATCCTTGTTCGTGCGCGAAGTCGTCATGAGGAATGTCTCCTTCCGCGAGTCCGTGAGCGATATGGGATTTGGTTCCGCGAGCGAAGGGGTGGGTGGCCCGAGAATGCCGTTGATGCTTGAAAAGGTATTAGAATGCCAGCGCCAGTTAGGACAGTGCTAACGTACAGAGACCGTCCAAAGGCCTCCTGGAACGGAAGAATTTCGTGGATGGCGAGGATCATCTGGAACGGGTAGAAGAAATGCCACTTGCACCCCCCCAGACCTACATTCCACAGAGACAAGGGCGCAACGTGTGTCTGGTGATTTGTTTGGGATATGAGGCATCTAGTCTTGATTCTTCTTCGTACGGAATAGGCTGCGTCGAGGTAAGAGGCAGGATGGGCGCCGGAATCTCCTTGACGATTCGGGTCTTGACTCTGGCGCTCTTTGGATAATTCCTGAGTCTGTTCATAGAGAACACGAGGAAAGGTGGAAGCTGTGATGAACGGAAAAGAAGGTCGGTTTTAAAAGGAAAGAAGCCATCTTGCGTCATGTTGACCTTGAATCTGAAACAGTGCCCTCAAAAATGGTGATCCGAACAAAAACAGTCGACTTCATTGGTATTAGGGTGGTAGAACAGTGATCAAGTGATGTCCATAACAACGATACTCTGCCGGGAGTGTAGGGGAACAGCAACATATTCACACAGCCAAAAAGGTCCAATTCAAATCTCGGCACTATGACAATCCTAGAAAAATTCTCTGTATCAGAGACGTATCACGAAAACACCTACAAGAACACGTACCAATAACTCCACACGCGGCTCTTGCCCCAGAATTTCCAGTCGTCAACGACAGGTTCGTTCCGCCCTTCCCTAGATCATCTGTCCCAGTATGAACGACCATGGAACGTCTAGGAAATCAAGTCAATACCTTCATAAAAATCTCACGAAAAGAAAACGTACCCGATAATGCTCAGTGGCCCATTCAGCGAAATAATCTCATCAGTAATATCCAGCACCGCAACACCGCTGGCATCCGATTGGATATTTCCGAGATCGCCTACGTGCCTTTTGGTTATGGGATCGGTGGGACCACCGTGTGTGGTGTTGAATGGGTTATAATGTTCTCCCGCTGATGTGCAGCCGTCTGTGAGGTTCCCGGAGGTGCTATGGGGCGGTTAGAACGGCGAAGGCAAAAGAAATACTGGACGTACTGGACATGGAAACCTCGTAAGGCTGAAGGATCTAGCCCTACAATGCGTCCCGTTACATGAACGGGTCCATCATAGCTGGACTGCTGGAATATGACGGTGCCGTTGACTGGACTTGGTCCGCTTAAGACGACGACGGCCTTCATATGTTTAAAGTCAGCATTGGAAAGAGAAATCGTTGATAGAAATGGGTACCTCTGAGACAACAGTATCTCGAGACCAGACGGGAAGGACGACGGTGAGTGTGAGGAGTAGTAAGTTAAACATCGTGGCAGGAGGATGGAATGCGTAATAGGCTGTTCGAAGCAGCATCAGTTTACTTTAATGCCTCATGCGTGAGAATTGCGATTATGACATTTTGATTCGTGATCCGTATTAGGTCCTGGAGAAATGTTTCGGCGACGTACAGCCATCCTATTGGCACAGGATACGGGGCACTCGCCCACAGCATCGTCGGGGAGGCGCGCACTGAGTTTTCCACTGCTTTATAGACCACGTCAACAGCTGTAGCAGAAAAGGACCCTGGTCAGAAATTATGAAACTGCTGATATATATTTAGGCTCAAACATCCCCTCGACAACGCAAAAATATCGAACTTTATGGACGCCACTTACATCAGTCGAATCCATCTCTGGCTTCTCGTTTCAGGTATGAATTCTTTGTGGACGTCTGGGACCCAAACGGATATTTTTGTGAGAAATTCTTGGCATTAAAACTGAAACGTACGAAGAGAGTATTCGTACGGATCACGCTATTCTTGTTCAAGAGTAGCATTGAAATGATGTCAATCCCTGCAGCGGTATTGATATCGTTCGAAAATAGCTGGTCATATAATCAGCACATTTCACAGATATAAATTGCTTAACTTTCGGACGGGGTCCTCGACGTGAACGTGGTTATTGGACATATTTTTTGCACCGCGTCACCGAGGACTGCCGTATTGTAATTGCAAAAGTCATGACTGTCATAGACAACCGCACTCTCCAAATCACCATCGTGTCTTATATTGGAGCGACGAAGTCAGAGACAATAACGATTTCTGGTTCGAAGTTAGCATGCTAGCTTAATATAAAGGTGGTAGAACCAACAAGCAAAAGACAGCGCCAAAAATGAAAAGCAGATATATCGTTGTGAGGTTTCCATCGACTGGAAGGCGGAGGAAATCGTAAGACATGTACTGTTCTGACTCAAGGTATGAGAGATACCACGGCCGACATATTTGTACCGTCCAGAAGGACATCCGCAGGTGGAGACTTCATGTACGAGATTCAGTGAGCTCTTTCATAGATAAGAAGGTTAGACGATGTTCTAACAGCTCAATAGCCAGTCTTTAAGATTAAAACTGAGGCATCGGCCTCTGACGAAGAGCAGGAAAATATGACGCGGGGGTCTCGGCAGAATGAAGGAAAGAGGCTGAGTAAATGCAATTCAGTTGAAACAACCCATGAAACATTGCATAGCCAAGGATTAGAGAAACCAAGAGAAGGATAAAATTTTAGTTAGAATACAATTCAAGTCATCTGGAGTTAGGAATCACAATCCAGCTCGTCAGGTGCGAGTAAATTCAGCGGGGATGGTACCGGGTGACAGAGATCGGAGCAAGTTCGGTCCTTTGGAAGCATTCGGACCGAAGCAAAAGGCAAAGGCTGTTGCCAAACAAATAAATGAAAATTTGAGCCCGCGGCTTCTACTCGTGTTTCTTTCTTACCACCATCTTTCTGGTGCAAGGACAGCGTCTTGGTCGTCTCCTGCACACCTCGGCATTTATCTTCGTTCCCGTCGCACTCATCGTCCTCGAAGATGTTGGCTGAAGGGTTCTCAACGGAGAGGGCGGTGCGTCGTGAAGATAGGCTGAGCAGGTGAGGTCCTCGTCCCTGCCTTGTCCTGCTTTGAAGCTCTGTAGTCTATCGGCGCCGCGTATCTTCTCAAGAGAGGTGCAGATACAGATTCTGAGAGCGCAGCAATTGCCTCACAGCCTGTGTGTCATATGTCGGCCCCTTGCGTGGACGACACTGGTGACTGCCAGCACCATTTGTTTCGTCAGTCGCTGACAGGGGATCTGGTCGTGAGTCTGCCGCCTCTAGTTCTCGTCGTAGGCCTAGGTTGCAGTTCTCAAAGATGCGACGATCCCAGCTGCCTCTGTTACATGAAGTACGTTGGCTTCGTCGGCCTCGAGGGACACCATCTCCTGCCTACACCCTAGCTTGTATACCTGGAGCATTTCCTTCTACCTGCATGCCCTCGTGCGGACCGGAAGTTCTCTGGGTCGAGGGTCTGGCCCACCTCGACAAGCTTGTGGGATAGCCGGGTGAAGACGTTGCTTTTCGGTGCTGGTTAGGCGTACGAGGACGACGAGCTCCATGACTTTGCATGGTGGCCAATTTTTCACTTTTCGACTCTTCGCGAGTTTTTATTACATCAGCCAGGTTTACCTGTGCGTATCTAACGTTCATATAGCTTTTTTCCTACTCATTGTTAGTAGATTTTCTTGTCGTCTGTATATGTTCCAGATTCATCATGTTCCCGCTGCAAATATTTGCGCATATATTCACGTTAATTACAGGTTCTTGTCTAAATCGTGTTTCTTTCGTATTCTTATTTGTTGAACAGGGGATTGGGTTGGTGCTATGTATCTTCATTGAAGAATAAATAAGTCATGTATTCTTTGTCTATCAATTTGATTCTTTGTATTCGTGGACTGCAACATTTTTCAGAAACAAGACTTCCAGCAACCAAGTGGTGAATCCGGTTCGTAGAGAGAGATTGTAATTCTATGCCCTTTGTGTGCAAATTCGTGTGGTATCCGCGAACTGACGGCGATTCTTTGGTTTCCCTTACTTGACGTTCATGTGGGCCCGCATTTTTGCCGACCTTCGGTTTCATCGCTAATATTCGCACGTAGGTACCTTATTCTGTTCTTCCCCGCAAGGGGTTCTTCAGGTGCCAATCTATCTATAGGCGCAAGATTGAAGACGGCGTTTTGGATCTCTCCACTAAAGCAGACCCGCTGATAGTTCCCACGGCATTAGTCTCTTCAGGGTTCGATGGTGCGGTCGGTGCTGGAGGGACCCTCGTTATGCTGTCCTCGCTCTCATCGCGCTTCCTGTTCTGGAAAGTTCAGTGGATGACAGCCCATGGAATGAAGGGGTAAGGTCAACGTTTCGGCTTGTGCTGCTTTGTAGGACTTCATTCTTTCGGCGTCAGAAAAGATATGTGGATATATGTTCATGACGCAGCCAGCTTTCATCTGCTTTGTCAGTAGCCTATATGGATCTCGCCGCTGGTAGCCACGAGTTAACCGGCAGCTTTCCGGCCTGCGGCTGCATCAGCTAAGCCTAGTGTGATGGCGTTGGTCGGTGCTTACTCGTTCCTCGCACGTGCAGTTTTTCCTGCTAATCGCCCTGCACTTGCATGCCCGACAGCGGAACGGTCGTTCCGAGTCACGGCTTGGCCAATCTCAACAAGCATGTGTAGTTACGATCTCTGTTCTTAGGGACGACGTACGAAGAGGACAGGCTTCGGTTGCTTTGTCAAGGTCAACTGTCATAAATTTTGCTTGTGCTGACGAGTTACTTTCGGTGTTTTTGACAGACCCTTTTCGCGGTCGAGAACCGGGATAGTTTCCAACACGCCATGTTTCCCCGGACATTGGGGTATATTTCCCCCTAGCTGTAAGTTCGTGTTTTCCCCGGCATTCTCTTTCATTTGCTGAGTTTTGGAGAAGACTATGTTAGTTGTGATAGGGCTAGGTGCATCAACTTGAGCCAGAACTGTGCAATGTCGTCCAAGCTCATCAATACAATTCGTTTTCCTTTCCAATGCCAGTCATGTGACCTTTTGTCGCGGTTTGAGTGGAGCTGCAACATGCCCGCAACTTTATAACTCCTAGGGTTATATTTACCCACGACAACATGGTTTATTACCTGGAGTCTTTCTTTACCCCCGGAAGGGAGAAACTTTGCGCTACAGGCTTCGTGGTGGAACGTAGTCCTCGTCCGCAGAGAACCGTTCTGATCTTATGTCCTCTCCAGCGAAACCTTGGGATGGTGGCATAACTTCTGCCGGAAAGCTTGCTGCAGACGTACATCTTTTCGCCAAGTTTCTAGATTGTCATTGATATTCGCTTGTAGATGCCTCGGTGTGCGCTTGGACTATCCATGATTAATGCAAATCATCATTATTGAATGTAGGGGGGGACCCTTCTCATTCTCCGGTGTCTCTCCAAGTATTGATGCGGCATAATTTCCAGTACGAAAGGAAATCGAAAGGATCTTAGACTCGGCAGGGACCCGAAACTGCCAAGACACCAAAAAATCGATCTCATGATGCCGGCCGGGCCTGTGTCTCTGGCTATATATATAAGTACGGCATCCTTTGCGAAGCCAGCTACTGCTCGCTAACCCAACCCCGTTCGTTTCAACTTGCCATGCTTCACTTCGTGAGCGAGTGCGTCTTGATCATCCTCATCGCCTACCCAATCCTTTTCTTCCTCGTCGAGCAGCACCTTTGCTTAGCACATCTCACCCCCATCCTGCTCCTCGGTCTCACGGTCACCTCGACCTTGGTCATTTCGGCGATGTTGAACTGGATTCTTGTGCTGTGGGGCGAGACAGAGGAGGGGGAAGACATGTCATGTTGTCGTGAGAAGGCGGAGGTGCTGAGCTCAGAGAACAATTCGATGTAAGTAATCGTTCATGTGTAATTATTTGCTTTGCTGAATATCCTTTAGACCTGAAGGTGTCGTATGAGATTTCTGAGGTAGAGTCGAGGTGTTGGGTACTACATTACATACGAATCTTTTGTCTCATGGTGGGATAATTGACTCCGAAGTTTTGGCGGTTGTTCGGTCCGGGCGTCAACCGTTTCCTCCAGGTACAGATATCTATGCGGCTTCGTGCTCCCACTTTCTTGGGATGAGAATGGTTGCTTATTCTCACAGTCTACCTCAGGTGATCTCTAGTTTCCTCTGCCAATTTGCCTGGTTCCAGACTCACTGCTTCATCTGCCTAGTGACATGAAGGCACTGTGTGCACTAAAGCAACTGTTGATCTGTCCCTTACTGGCTTACAGAGCCATCTCAAATCGGATACTGAAAGTGTTCTAGAATTGGAGGTCTGAGACTTGGGCTTGAACTCCACTGGCAAGCCCCAAGCTGCCTTTCTCTTGATTCACTGCTTCCCCTCTGACTCTTATCTGAAACTGATGGCAGTTGGTCTTTATTGATATTATCATTAACACAGTTCATGAGCAGTTCCTTCCAAAGGAGAAATGGCACTCCGATCTTATAGCATACTCTTTGGTGCACAAACCATGGATTCCCCCTATCTGATGTCATCTCTTTAGTCAGCTCATTATTGGAGTCTCGCAATCAGCCTTTGTTCACATGCCTCAGATCCGGCTTTTCTGCAAGGCATTGATCGAGAGGGCATGGTGCCCTGCCTCACAACGATTCAGCCAAGGAAGAACTGACTGACTTGTACATGAAGTGCTTCCTTCACTTTTCATGTTTCCCATGATCCAGTCACTTGATATCATTTTCAGCATATGGTCTAAGAGGAAAAAATGGGATGCTGTGCTCAAGTCCTTTGATAGTGGAAAAACCACTCAAGGCTGAGAAAGGTCATGTGGGTGGACTTGAAACATGAGTTTCTTGGATGGGTGAAAGAGCAGATGACTAGGAAACTGAAGCAGGTGGAGAGCCCATTGAAATATGTATTTATTATTAAGTAGCTTTACAGTAATTACACCATAGTCTTATGCACTCTGACAAGAGATGTTCAAAGCCATCTGGATCATACAAGCAAGAAATCCATTATACCACAAGTATCTTTTCACATAACATACTGCAACTTTTATACAACATTTCAGTGCCAGAGAAAAAAAAATCCATCAAATTTGAACAGGTGAAAACTTCAGGAGGCATGACACTTGTGAAGACATCCTGCTGTGTAATGGAGAAAATTTACAGGCTGCACAATAATAGAACAGATATAATACCATCTCATTAATAGGTAACCCAGCAGTCAAAATCACTATCCAAAGCATGCTTCCACAACCTGGCTAGGCTTCCCACTATGGATTTCAATCTCAATTGATGGATTCTTGTTCATCACTGGCTTCAGCTCTTGAGTGATCCATTCCTTTGACTTGTCCTTCATATTGTTTCTCACTTGTAGAACTAAGAACCACCTGAGATTCTTGTAGTTCTCCTGACTCAGAGTTTCAATGATGGATTCCCAATCAAGATTATCAAAATCAGTGACAAATGACATCCAGACTACTAAAATTATTTTATTGATGGATGAAGATGTGATTTTTCAAAGTATTTCAGGAATATATTGAGTGCAGGCAGCCACAGTATTAAAGTCATTGCATATAGAAACAAATCAGAATATGATAGATTCAAGGTTTGTGCTGTACTTGAGGTTTGCATTGTGAGAGAGTGAGGCTGCATCTAGTCAATGAAAAAGACAAACATCAGTGCAATTTAATCAAGATCATTATAATATGTACTATTGTGCATTATACAAAGAAGAATCAAAGATATACTTAAATGCTTCAGCAATAGACCAGTGATTGGAATAATTTATAGAATGAGACAGTTTTCATAGCCAACAGTAAACAGCAAAGATGATAAAGAAGCAGAGAGTCCATCAAGATAGAACAGAGTTGTTTCTTCTGGAGGTGAGCTTTTATCACACAGGTTATAGTCCAAATATGCAGATGGTAAAAGTCTATACAATGACAGAATATGGATTATGTGGTCCAGAATAAGGAAAATGCATGATTCAAGAGCTAAGTGTGTCATTCCAGTGAAACTGAACAGAAAAGGAGAAAAGTCACCAAGTTCTCCTCTGAAATGAGAGAGAATGATGCATTGTCTATATGTAGCTTCTTGAGGTTGGAGAATATGGAAGGTATGGCAGTTGAATGTTAAGCCCAAGTCACACATGATCTAAACACATGATAAACTGATGCTGTATTGAGTTTGTACAGTCATGTCAGAGTTCACTATATGTGTCTGTTGATCTAGTGCTTCAAGGCCAAAAACAGTCAGCTCAAGATGAAGTGGTGAAGAATAAACTTTAGCTTGAAGCTGGGTATCTACAGTGAGAGCTATGCTACTTATATACTGTCCAGGAGTCTGTGTAAAAATATATCTACTAATTGTATGTTCTTATGCTACTGTGCTCTTTGTCTTTGAGTGTTGTTACTGTCCACAAAGGAGTATTGTCTATTGTTGAGAGTATTGTTGCTGTTGAAGGACAATAGCCAACTCTGTCTATTATAGTGACTAAGCAGGTCTCATGGTCCTAAGTGCTCTGCTAAATGCCCTGACTAAGTGCAAATAGGGGTTAATCAAGAAAGGAAAAAAGAAAAAATTATAGAAAAATCATAACATTGAAGGAGTCTCAAGAAGAAAAAGGTTCACTAAATTGCAGGCCAAGACAATCATGTTAGAACCACTGTCATTGTTTAGTTCTTTGAGTTCTCTGAGAATTAAGATATGGATAAAGTCAAGGAAAGAGCAGTATGGACTGGCAATAATGTCTATAAAGGTTGCATGATTAACAAAGGAAGCAGTCATGGTTTGGCAAAGATAGTATTGGCTGTATGGCAGCCATGTCCTAGAAGCCAAGGAACAAGATAATAAAGCTGACCAGTGTTTATCTGTGAGCTCTGCAAGATCACTGTCATCACTGTCATTGCTGTCACCAGAGTAAGGAAAATAATAAACATTGTTGATAATTATATTCACAATCTCTACAGGGAAATTGCTTTGAGACATGAGTAGTGACATAAAGGATGATGGTGGCTCAAGAAGCCAAGCTAGCATGATTAAATGCTGATGAGCTGCTAGGCTCTGTGCACTCTGAAATCACAGGCCTCAATAATTATTTTTGACTTCTGCCTTTAAATGGGCTTTCAATAAACCAATCATTTTAGGTTCAACAGCAGTAGTTTCATCAAGAACTATTCATTACTTGTAGATATTTCTTTGTGCATGAAGATTATATGTTATATATGAACTTTCTATTTGTCTGCAAACTTTTCTCATCAACCATATAATGCACAAACTTTCTATGCTATAATAAGCACCATAGGCACAGTCAGCACTACAATAACTGATCAGACATACATCATTATTAGTATACATGTAGCACTCTAAGGTGGCTCACAAGGTCCATTGTAATGCATATACAAAACTGGCTGTAGATGTCTAAGCTTTTCACAGCCAGCATGTGAAAAAGTAATAGGCTGCAGAGGACTAACTCTGTGTTTGGTTAGATATATAAGGAATATTAGAAGGACTAGCATACTATTGGCTACATGAACTTTTAAATATGCAATGTTTACTAAAAGCCTCACAGCCTTTAAGGCTTTGCATAATAAAAACTTTGCTAGGCTCACTAAGCTAGTACTATAGTTACAAATGCTGTTTAAATGTAGCATACTTAGTATTAGTAAAAGGATAGTATAAGTAGTGTACAAGATAACACACAAAGAGAAGGACAAGTAATACTAAGACTATTCAACTGTTAAGCCTAAGCAACACATGACCTGAATACATAATAAACAGATACTGTATCATCTTTGTACAGTCACATCTGAGTTCACTATATGCATTTGTATGGCTTTGTGTCTCAAGGCTATTATAAGTTAGGCTCAAGATAGAATGGTAGATGAATAAACTTTAGCTTGAAGCTGAGGTTGTATCAGCAAGAGCTGTCCTACTTATATACTACAAGTCTATCAGAATAAATATACTACTACTTATTATGTCTGTCTAAGTCATTGTGTTTGTTGTCCTTAAACATCACTACTATCTACAATAGGGCTGTTGTGTATCATTGAGCATTATTATCACATCAAAAGACAATGACAGACTTGGCTTGTTGTGATGACTAAGCCAGTCTCACAGTCCTAAGTGCTAATATAGATACTCTGACTAAGCATAAATAAGAGTTAATTGAAGAAAGAAATAGAAAAATCATAATATTACCTCCTTCTTAAGACTATTGTCCTGATAGCTTAATTAAGAGATAATTCATAGTCTCATATAGTATCTGCAGCATTCATCTGTTTTTTATTTACTCACTGGTTAGATTCTGAGCTGTAGCCCTTCCAACTAACCAGATAATCAACTGTCATAGTTGTCCTGCCATCTCTGACCTTGATCTTGTGTAATTTATAGTTTAAGATCTGATCAATTTCATAATACTTTTTATCATTGATCAAGTCAGTGTTACGATTTTTTCTATTTTCTTTTCTTTTTCCTCAGAAATAACCCCTATCTTTGCTTAGTCAGAGCACTTAGACTAGCACTTAGGACCATGGGAATGCTTAGCTCAGCAATCCAGTCGATCATTCTCCTATTGCGCTGTTGTGTGCTGTAAAGGGAGAGACAGTACTTCTTTTGTCTCCAACTTGCAGTGCAACAACAACAGCACAACAGCAAGACAACAGCTTTTGTGGAGAGCCTGGCAACAGCAGGAGTAATAGCTCTATGACAGACAATATCTTTTGTGAACAGTTATTAATAGCCAGATAACAGAACAGTATTTAAGTAGCTTTAGTTCTCGCTGTAATACTCCAGTCTCAAACTAAAGTTTATTCTCTACCATCCTATCTTGAGCCAACTACTTAATGCCTTGATCACACAAAGCTGATAGTGCATCAGTGAATTCTAACAGTATAACCCAAAGTGTGAGGTTCTGTTAGTCTATCACGTGTTGTCAGCCATGTG